GAGCAGAAGTATCCTCTTTCGTGTGGAGTATGCTGACACTAAATGTTTTTGGGGTAGATCGTAGCACCGAAGGGCCTGCGGAGGGGGGGGGTATGGAATACCCCCAGCAATACTTATCCATCATTACATTCACCAAAGGAACCCTCGATAATTCTTTCTCCATTTACAGGGGTACGCCGGGGAACCCCCGGTACTACTTTTTCCTACAAAAATAAAGCGGTCAGGACATCTTACAGGATTTCTAGCGCCTCCTAGTCCCATCAGACCAACAGAAACGAGGTAGACTATGCAGGTCCTTATTATTTCCAGCACCTTCAAGGTGACTTACAGAGCTTTTCGAAGTCTTTTGTTCGAGCAAGTGTCTAAAGGCTTTCGAAGGCACTTAACGGACTCTCGAAGGAGTAAGGAGTCTTGAATTTAGGATATCACCCACCTCCCAAAACTAAAGGATCTAACAAGTATGTTCAATGCATTTAAAGTTCTGATAAGTGCCCAGAAAGTTGGATAAGGCTTTTAATGCGTTTAGACTGTTTTCCAAAACCTCTTATGCGCTTTGAATTGGAAAATCAGATCGAATTCAAAACAGAAAATTACGCTTTTGTATCTTGATTTATTATCCCAAAACGTTTCCCATGAAGCTCTTTGTCCGCTTTCAGTGTAAATGTGAATGGTGTCATCGCACCGTAATTTCACAGCGCGATGATACCTTTCATTGGAAAGACAATTACCTTTAATTCAGCCACGGTAATTAAAGGTTAAAGTCCTTTAATAAAAATACACCCGCCTCTTGTCATTCATGAGTTATTCAACCGCGCGAAATTCAAATCACGGGAATGACAATGCGTATTAGAAAGTGCTCGTTTTGTCTAAAATTGATCCATTGTTCCATTCGGCCCGTCCGTCCGACGCCCGTAACCTTTGGCGACGATTTCTGGACCGTAAATATTTGTGTCAGTCGACAATTTCACGCTTAATTAGCACGATGTGAAGTAACTATAAACATGGAAGAAATTCTAGCGAAATTACGATAATTAGAAGAGCGAATTGCGCGATTTTCCGCACGTACCGTCGCCCACGTGCCAAAAGATTAAGACCTTGTCACGGCGGCGGACCTTTTGGCGGTAATTGCGTCAGGTTCTTCTTATTCATTAAACGCTTGAATCGAGGCAATGCACCAAAACGCGAAATCGAAATTAAAAATTTCATTGCGAAATCCGACGGTTATTGTTTGATTTAACGTTACGCAATTACTTCCAATTTTACGCATTGATGTACGTACCAGATTTTATGGCGTTATTTTCGGAGTGGGTTAACGTTAATTACGCGCGCGGCAAGTAGGAAGCTGGACGGTAATTAGAAACTCCAGATGGTTAATTGCGCGAATTCTGTAATTAGGGGTACCTTTTTGGCGCAAGTCAATTTGGCGGTTAACCTTCGCGTCGTTACGTATTTGTCGCCCAGTGAAAGGCAAATTACGATTGTTTCCTCAATCAAAACATTCCTTCGAAATAATCGCACAATTGCCGCATACTTTGGAATTGGGTTTTTTTCGATTAGCCACAACTTTTTGTGTTGTGGAAGTGATTAGGCAAGTAAGAGTAGCAAGTGCAATTCGATTCCCTTCTTCTGTACCTAATTTTAAAATATTATCAAATAAAAACGGCTCAGTTTGTAGGTTACTGATTAGTAATGGCCTAATTACGATTAATTTTGATCAAATCTGAAGTGTGTAATATTAAAAGCGGCTAATTACCTGAAATTATTCAAATTGAGGCTTAATTAATTAGGCCCAATTAGGCCCCTTTGGTAGTTCTGGCTTCAAAAATTGTTGCTGTTAGATTTGTGCGCCTATTTGTGCTTCGTAAAATAAAAATCTCCAACTCAATTTGGCATTCATCGGGTTCGTGCGCCCATTCGCCTTATAAATTGAAATTTCGATTTCGAACGAGTTTCTCAATGGTTTTTGCGCCCATGTTAAGGATTTTTGCGACATTCTCTTCATAAAATAGACGTTTGCAATAATCCAATCTAAATTGTGCGCCCATTCCTTTAGCTTTTGGGTTATTCCCTTCAGAAAAAGAATAGTGGAACTGCGTGACGCACTTGAATTACTTGTGCGCCCATCCCACGTATTTTTGTGCCATTTGCTTCAAAAATAGAAATTTTCAATACATTTTGATATTTGACATGGTGTACCTCAATGGTTCGTGCGCCCATGTGATGTGCTAATGGGATATTCGCTTCATTCTCCGGGTTCTAACCCCCCCCCCCCCCTTCCCCAAAACCTGCGCTGAAACCATCATAATTAGTTTGTAAAATAGCGAAAACCTATTCCTTTTTCCTGTGGACTACGGTAACAATAAATCTTTTTGGGGAGAACGTACCACCGGCGTGTCGGGGGAGTACAGAATACACTCCCCCGGAAAATCTCGGAAAGTTGCTGGACTCCGCTCACGCGTCGTCCAGCAACTATCTTCCTCGTCCCGAAAACTGACATTTTTTGTACTAATGAAACAAATAACTATTATAGCACTCATGACAGTCACCAAAAGCGGCTACCAAAAAGCACCACCAAACGAGAAATAGCCTCGTTTCTCGTTTTCCTCTGCTATTTAAAACCTTCTCCGTCCCCCTTCCTTAATTTTCAGCGCGTCGAATTGAAAAAACTTCCGCGATATCACGTGCTTATCTTGAAACAAATTAGTAACGTTAACTAAACTTCTTATCGCAACGACCGCATTTATAAGAGATAACTTTAACGAAACAGCCAGATTCCAGATGTATCGATCTAGGTCTTTTAACACGCCAATTCTTTAAAATTAAATAAAGAAGATACACGATACCCACACTTATGTTACCTTGATAAAACAGTGTTTGATAACGAAAGTGTCATGGGAACAGAGCTCATGAAATGGTGACAGAGAACAAATTTTACGCCTTCTTTAAATATATGTGAGGCTCTGTTACAATCTTTTTTAAAGAATAATAATAAAGATGTTACTGTTAACTTCTGTGAACCTGATACAATGGTTGCTAGACGTAGAAGTTTAATCACTAGAACTTAGTGCGGACGTATGTGTTTGGCAACAGCTTCTACACCTTCACGCGTAAGCTCACTTCAATAGTTTTATTAGGAGAACAGGTATTTATCAACGTTTCTGCAAGCCTGATTCGACACTCTTTACACGTGCAAGTTTCGCGAGGAAAGCTCAATAAAAGGTTTTAAGCTTGTCCTTCTTGCTTTGCCGTCAGCTCAATAAACTAATTTCAATACAGAGATTAGTATCAGGGGAACATCATTCTTGAAGTGGCATTTTTTAACTTCTGGGATCCTCGCTGAGAAATGGTTAATAAGTGCGCGATATCAGTAACTTCTAGACCTTCTGCGTTTCTGCTACCATGATAAACTAGTTTTCAATACAAACTGTCAGCGGAACACAACTCAAAGGAATTGTTGTCAAGTAAACCTCGACTTCTCCCGTTTCTGTCGACCTCATTGCACTGGTCTTTTAAGAGAAAGTTTTATTAGGAGAACATATTGCATCCGTACTAAATATAAGTTTTGGATCTAGTCACGTTTCTGAGAGCCTGATAGATTGGTTTTCGAAAGAGTAAGTTATCAGGAGCGAAACATCATTCCTGAACTGACAGTAAATTTCGAAACGTTACCATCTTGCTTTACAATAGACCGGACTTTTCCGGCGTTCCTGTTACCTTGCTATGCCAATTTTAGTACCAGAAAAACATAGAATAAATCACAAAATGTGAGATTCGGTGCCGTCAATAAGCATCTGATCTCCTGATATCTCCGCGAATCTGTTGCAATGGTAGAATGAAGGCAAGTTGTATCAAAACATCGCGTTTCCAGTATCTTCAGTTGCCTTGATAGACTAACCTTTAAAACAAATATTAGCAGCAGGAGAATATAATGCAACAATTTTATGTTTATTAGGATAACATGACGCATAAAAAAGGTGTCTGCCAATAATCTACCCCTTGTCGCATCTCTCTAATAAACCTGGTGCAACAGTTGTGTTTGGCTATAGCTCTAGGATTTGCATAGTGTGAACTTCATTTAATAGTCTACAGATGGAGGTATTAGGAGAACATGATGAGCAAAATTTTCAATAGAAAAATTCTTATCAGGGGAAATAATAAATTTTGCCCATACTTGCATTTGAACAGTTTTTGTTAATAAAAACATTTTGGCCTCGTGTAATATAACAGTCAGTAAAGGTCACGTCACGTTGGGACAGGAGAAAGTAATACGGTGTTTGACAATAGCTTCTACATGCGTTTCTGTTACCCTGATAACGGAATTTTTTATACAAAAATTAGTAGCAGGAGAACATGGTTCCTTACGTTGTCAAAAAATAAATTTCACACTTTGTTGCTTCTGTATATGAACTTCTTTCGACAGTTTTGAAGGATTAGAGGGTTCATAGTGGTCTGAGGAAGATGGAAGAAATTCATTCCGGTTCGAGAACAATTATTGATAGGGTAGAGTGTTCACAGGGAATGATCAGGGAACTGCTAGGGATCACAGATTCGAAGTTAGAAGAAGATTTCACATGCGTCATAAATGGATGCCTTTTGGGCTCAGCTATGCTCCATAGTTTCATTCACAGATCCATATCTCACGATTGCTGCATCGAGGTCCCATTTTCTATTCCGAAACCGTTTGACAAGTTGCGTAGAGATTCATTAGCACAGTTCACAGTCGACGAACTTCTCCAAATGCATGCGAAACGATTCACAATCGTCTCATTGTCTCGCCCATTCGGACGAACGAAACTAAATCATCTAACCCTGAAAATGTACGCGAATTGAATGGTTTCGGTCACTTTTACTTTTCTCACTTAACAAAAAAAAGAATTTTTCTATCAATTGTGGCTTGAGTAACATTAGGTGCAATTATGGTAATTGCGGGGTTTAATTAAATCCAATTAACGGTCTGTTTTCCCACGCACGGTTATTGCGTCAAGGTTGCCCGCGCTTGAATTAAATCGAGTTGGCAATAAAAAAAGGTAGCAGTGACAGTTTGGGAAAATCTAGAAAATGGCGTTTAGATCAGCTGTGCAAAATTCGCTCGCGAAGAGAAATTGGGGTGGATACCGCGGATTCATGAGGAGGACTAAGAAGGAAGATGTGCCAGCGGAATGCGCGAATGAGTCATGCCCGAAACCTGCGAAGGGGTTTTGGGGATCGCTCATGTCGAAGAAGAAGAAGAAGGAAAGAATGGTTCCGGACAAGGGGAGCTGCCGCTTGGAGCAGGGTATCCAAGTGACGTTGTAAGTGTGTTTATCGCACCGTTGTTGTAGGTCGGGGCAAGCCTGATCCGGACCTGAGCCAGTTTGGTGGAACCGCCTACAGGACCTGCGGGGAGGCTTACGTGGTCGAAAAAGACAATCTTCCATCAGAGCAGTGGGTCAAATCCAAAGAGGACATGCTCGTCCAAGGCATCGAGGCGAACTTGGACTCGAAAGACAACCACATCGATCCATTACCCCACTTCACCAGCGTCGAACAGCGTCTGATCGAGCTTTCCGACCGGAAACTCCATCCCTCTTACAAACGGCACCTAAACGTCAACAAGAAGAGGATGCTGGACTATCCGCTGTCGTACACGTACAAGTGGCACACGGGACCGTGCGAACCGCTCGACATCCCCAAGCACTTCAAGTACAACGAAGAGCTGCTGGATCAGAAGAACATCTACGCGCATTACAAGAGGGTGGAGCCGCCGGAACAGCTCACAGCGCGTATTATCGAGATGCGGCGCAATCAAAAGCGCACCCTTGAACCGGCGCCCGCAGTTCCGACGGTGGACTCGCCGATGGTGAAGAAGAACAGGAGCGTTTACGATACTCTCTACCAGAAGAGTATCAAATTTTAGATCCAAATAAATTTACTTTACCTCTTCGCGATCAGTTGTAATGCCTTTCTCCTGATACAAATTAACTTGGTGTATCAAGATCACAGGAACGTATGAAGGTGTTCTCACTGACACATTACAGAGGCGCCTGTTGAATGAGATTAACAGGAATGTTTTTCTGCTGGGACCACTTCGGGAATTATCTTTTCAGTTCAGTATTGAAAATTAGGTTATCAAGGTAACAGGAACACATGAGCAGGGAGATGGAAGGTTATGTTCTCCTAATAAACACTTACCTTGGAATCCTCATTGAGTCTTACTTGAATCATTCTTGAATCCTCATGAACTTCCCTTCGCGAACTTTCGCGAATCCTTCCATGAATCACCATGGACGAAATCTCAATTAATTTTCTTCACACTCTAGTAGCTTCTTGAAATCAAGTGTAAACCTTCCTTTGAATCTTCTTGGAATTCCATTGAAATTTTCCGCGAATTTTCCTGCAATCACCCTTGCGTTTTCAGACGCATTTACGAATTTTTCATGAATCAATCTTCCCCCGACAGTTTTATTGAACTGTTGAAATGTTCCGTGAATTTTCTTAGAATCACCCTAGAATCTTTATAAGCGCATTTATCATCCATGAATTTGGTTAGAAAGATTCCCTAACCTAAGATTTTCACTAATCTTTCGCAAATTTCCGAGGAACATTCGTCTAATCATATCCATATCCTCGAATTTTCTTGAATGTTCCCAGTAGCTTCCTGGATTTTTCATTCCTCGAGATTCTGGAATCTTCCCCATAGTTTTCTAGAATCAAATGAGGAGCTGCCTTGAATCTTCGAATCTTCCTCGTAGCCTCCTGGAAGCAGCGGCAAATCTTCCGGTAGTCTTCTTCGAATAACCTCGCAATTTTCCGTAAGTTTTCTTAGAATCACACAGGCATCTTTATAGGCGTATTTAAACATTCCATGAAGTTGGTTAGAAGAATTCCTAACCTACGATTTTCACTAACCTTCCCTATAGCTTCTTAGAATCATCCGTAAATTTTTCTAGAGGATCTTCATGGATTCTTTCATCTTCATATACTTGAATATTCTCGAATATTCCAGTAGCTTCCTGGATTCATCTGTGAATTTTTGATGAGCATGCTTACAATTGGGATGATCTTCCCCATAGTTTATTAGGAACAGTTGCGGACTTACCTTGAATCCTCGAATCTACATGAAATTTTCCGTGAGTATTCCTAATAATCACTCTTGCATCTTCATAGACGAATTTTCGAATTTCCCATAGGTTTTCTTAAAATAAAACCCAACCTAAAATTCTTCCCATTAGCTTCCTGGAATCAGCTAAAAATCCTCTTCGTCTTCATGAACTTTCTTCAATATCCTTCGGATCGCGAATTTTTGCATCCATATATACGCAATTTTGAAATTCCAATGGATTTTCCTAGAATTGTCCCTGACCCTAAATTTTCTCGAACCTGCTCTGCAGCTTCCTGGAGGTAACTGAATTTTCTTCAAATTCCCTTGCATCCTCCTAAACGCAGTTACCAATTTTCAAGGAATTTTCTTCTTAGTACAACTCCAACCTAAAATTTTCTCGAATATTTCTTGTAGCGGCCTGGAATCAGTCGTGAATCTTCCTTGAATCTTCATGGATTCCTCTGCTAATTTTCATTGAATTTTCTTCGAACTGCCCCCATATCCCTGAATTTCGCCGTATCGTCTCCATAGTTATGAATCTGCGGGTTTCCGATGAATTCTCCTCTTCTTCCAATCTCCTTGAATGTTTCTGTTTCTACCTAGAATCAGTCTTGGATCTTGAACCTTACATTCTCTCAAATATTCCCATGGCTTCCTGGAATCGGCTGACAATCTTCCTTTTATTGTACCTTCATGGAGATTTTCTTCGATTCGATTCGATTCATCCCCAACTTATGATATGGAATACCCTCCAGAAAAGAGAAAGTTTTATTTCCGTAGACCCATCACAAAATCTTCGAGCCCTGGAGGTTGGATCTTACATTTTCTCGAATCCTTTTCGTTGCTTCCTGGAATCAGCTGCGAATCTTCTTTTGAGTCGCCGCGCCGTAGAATCTTCTGCGGATTTTGATGAATTTTCCTCAAGGGATCGAATTTTCTCTTAATTTCTTGAAATCGGTTGTGGCTATTCTTTGAATCTTCTTCGAATCTCGTTTAAATTTTCGGCGAATTTCCGTAGAATCACCGTTGGATCTTTATGGTTGCATTTACAAATTTCCCTTAGACACCCCTACATTTTGCAAATATTTCCCTAGCTACCCGGAATCAGCTGTGAATTTTCTTCGAATTCCCGCGAATTTCCCTAGGATCACTTCTGCACCATCATATACGCATTTACGAATCTTCCTCAATATAACATTTTTTTAATCTCTCACGTAACTTCCTGGAATCAGCTGGAACCTTCCTCGAATCCCCTTCATGAATTTTTCTGGAATCACTCGTTGATTTTAACGGCCCTTACACAAATTTCCCATGAATATCCTTCGAATAATCCCTAACTATAAGTTTCATCCTCGGTTTCATCATACAGTTTGCTTCCCCGTACCTTCCTGAAGTTAACCCCTAATGTTTCTAGAATATTTACGGATTCTTCTGCGAATTTCCTTCGGACTATACCCAAATTCCTGAATTTTCTTGTAGCCATCTGGAATCACTTGTGAATATTTTTTTCGAAGTCATAGACCACTTACGAATTACTCGTAGATTTTCTCAGAATAAATCTCAGCCTAAAATTTCCTCGAATAAACCCCATCTCCCCAAAAAAATCTGTCTAGGATCAGCTGTGGATCTGCTTTAAACCTTTATTCGCATCCACTGTGAATTTCCCTATAATTCCCCTGGTATCGTCAGATCGACAGAATCCCTACCAAAAATGTTCTGGAATCTTCCCCGTAGCTCAGCTGTGAATTGTCCTTCTTCCGAGAATTTTCGGTATATTTCTTCGAATCATCTCCAAACCCTCAAATGTCGTCTCTTAGAATCAGCTGTGAAGCTTTTCATGGAATCTCCTTGAAACTTTTCCGTATGTTCCTAGAATCACAACCCGGCGCTACGGTGTTGCACTAAATGTTCACCCCTACCGACTCTGGTTGTAGATTTTTTATCGCATCTTCCTTTCGTGAAGACCAATCCTACCCCACGCACCTGTGGTGTTAAATTCAGTTGTCCCTTCCTAAAAATTTTATTGCAAATGCTAAAAGGATAAAATATTTTGAGGAGAATGTACCACCGGTGGGTCGGGGGGGATGGAATACCCCCCAGGAAAAGGAAAAAAATATTTCTGTACAGTCATCATAAAATCTATACCTCCCAGACACCCTCGTGCTGTTGTGGTGCTACGTTCGGTTGTCCTTTCCTAAAAATTTGGGTGTAAGTACTAAAAGCATTAAATATTTTGGGGAAAATCTACAACGGGGGGGGGGGGGGGTCGAAGGTATACCCCCCAGGAAAAGGAAAAATTTATTTCCGTACAGTCGTCGCAAAATAAATTGGTAAATTTGCTGTGGTTACCAGGAGAACATAATAAACCAGACCTTCTGTAGACTAAAAGCCATTGTTTAAACAATTTATTTTCACTTAAACTTTTGGATCAGGAGGACATAATGAGAGAGGAAGTATCTCTGCTCCTAATACATGCAAATCTGTCAAAAATATTGGCAAATTTACCTGCTCTAGGCTAAAAAAGAAATGTTTCAACAATTTATTTTCACCGAAGCTTGTGCATCAGTAGAATATAATGAGCGAGGAAGTATCTCTGCTCCTATTACATAGAAATCCGACAAAGATTGGTAAATTAGCGCTGGTTACCAGGAGAACATTATTAACCAGACCTTCTGTAGACTAAAAGGGAATGTTTAAACAATTTATTTTCACTTAAACTTTCGGATCAGGAGAATGTAATGAGCGAGAAAGTATCTCTACTCCTAACACATAGAAATTCGTCAAAGAATTGGTAAATTTGCTCTGGTTACCAGGAGAACATAATAAACCAGACCTTCTCTAGGTTAAAAAATGTTTAAACAATGTATTTTCACTTAAACTTTGTATCACTAGAATATAATTAGCGAGGAAGTATATCTGCTCCTAATACATAGAAATGTGACAAAGATCGGTAAATTTGCGCTGGGTACCAAGAGAACATAATAAACCAGATCTTCTGTAGAGTAAAAGGGAATGTTTAAACAATTTATTTTCACTTAAACTTTTGGATCAGGAGGACATAATTAGCGAGGAAGTATCTCTACTCCTAACACATAGAAATTCGTCAAAGAATTGGTAAATTTGCTCTGGTTACCAGGAGAACATAACCAGACCAGACCTTCTCTAGGTTAAAAAATGTTTAAACAATTTATTTTCACTTAAACTTTGTATCACTAGAATATAATTAGCGAGGAAGTATCTCTGCTCCTAATACATAGAAATGTGACAAAGATCGGTAAATTTGCGCTGGGTACCAAGAGAACATAATAAACCAGATCTTCTGTAGAGTAAAAGGGAATGTTTAAACAATTTATTTTCACTTAAACTTTTGGATCAGGAGGACATAATGAGAGAGGAAGTATCTCTGCTCCTAATACATGCAAATCTGTCAAAAATATTTGCAAATTTACCTGCTCTAGGCTAAAAAAGAAATGTTTCAACAATTTGTTTTCACCGAAGCTTGTGCATCAGTAGAATATAATGAGCGAGGAAGTATTTCTGCTCCTATTACATAGAAATCCAACAAAGATTGGTAAATTAGCGCAGGTTACCAGGAGAACATAATAAACCAGACCTTCTGTAGACTAAAAGGGAATGTTTAAACAATTTATTTTCACTTAAACTTTCGGATCAGGAGAATGTAATGAGCGAGAAAGTATCTCTACTCCTAACGCATAGAAATTCGTCAAAGAATTGGTAAATTTGCTCTGGTTACCAGGAGTACATAATAAACCAGACCTTCTCTAGGTTAAAAAATGCTTAAACCATTTATTTTCACTTAAACTTTGTATCACTAGAATATAATTAGCGAGGAAGTAGCTCTGCTCCTAATACATAGAAATGTGACAAAGATCGGTAAATTTGCGCTGGGTACCAAGAGAACATAATAAACCAGATCTTCTGTAGAGTAAAAGGGAATGTTTAAACAATTTATTTTCACTTAAACTTTTGGATCAGGAGGACATAATGAGAGAGGAAGTATCTCTGCTCCTAATACATGCAAATCTGTCAAAAATATTTGCAAATTTACCTGCTCTAGGCTAAAAAA